GGTCATCCTGACTCTTTTTTAGACACTGAAATGAAGATTGCTCCCCTCAGGGCTGCTGAGAGGGCAAAGAAGGCTGCCGAGTAAAGGACTTTTATGAATGATTGTTTGCGTTCCTTATATATACATCAACCTTGGATATTTGCAAGTTTCTTCATTTTGCCCTTTGGGTGTCCTTCTTGTTGAAGAATTCCACCGCCTCCTCCATATCTAATGCTTCTTCGGACTCGCTAATTTCGGTATAATCTTGAGCTGGGATGCGGAGGTTTGATGAGAAGGATGGAGGCCTTTCGAATAGCTCTGTCGGTGGAGGTCTGGGAATCTTGGTCTTTCTGTCTTTGGTGACTTCGACGTTGTTCTGATGAGTTAATCCGTAAAGGAGGGGTCTAAGGATATAAATTAATTTGGCTTAACTGAATCAAGGTTTACATGCTGGGTGAGTAGAAGGCCAAATTGACTTTTAGGTCTTCTGCAATTTCTTCTCTCTTCCTGTGCTGGTTGATGCGTGCCTCTATTATAAATGAGTGAATTATCCTTGACTATGCACTGCTACCGTCTTTGAAGACTGACAGAGAATGCTGACGGCATGCGAAAGTTGAAGTTAGTAATGAAACTGTGAGAAATGCTCATGTACTGGAACACGCACCACATATCCGTTAATTTCATGTATTCTACAATGAGCTCATTGACAATAAGAGTCTCAGGAGAAGGCTTTGGTCTTGGACCCTGCCAATAACATATTTAAATGGGTCCTAAAGAATTATGGCCCCAACCTGATCTTTGATGGCGTTATAAATCTGCGCCCTCACCCACGCCTGCATGTCTGCTCTTGTCCCATTCGACTCGAAGTTTTCCATTACCGCTGTTTTTGCTAAGCGTCAGCACTAGCACTCGTGCTGCGCTCGTTACCCTCTCGAAGGTCATCATAGCCGGCGGACATTCTGAAGTGTTGAAATTTGTCGGTGTTAATGTTGGCATCTTGTATGTTGCGGGATATGGTTTCAATGAGGCTTTCTCCGGCGCGCAATGCTTCTTTCCCTTTTGGACATTGGGGACTCGAATTATCCACAGAAAAATCGTCCCCTACTTTCTGGATATCAGGGCTCTGTTCCGTCCTCAAAGTCCAAAGATTGTCGAAAGATTAGCACTGCACCGGCTTGACAGCTGAACAACCATTCTATCAACAACCTCCAAACTTCACCATATTACTTTGAGAGTCTGCCTGACATTCGCAAATGGGAAGTGGAAAGAAAGTCGGGTACTATCTCTCCTGGGAGAACATATCATGCGTCATTGGAGGGAAGGCGATCTTGGAGAATGTCACTGGATACTGTGCCCCAGGAACTAGTGTTGCTGTTCTGGGTGCTTCTGGAAGTGGTAAAACTACACTCGTAGGTGAGGACATCGACCAAACTTCGGATCCTCTAGACAACTTTAGCTGATCACGCTGCTTGACAGATATTTTGGCGCAGAGGAAGACGGTGGGAACACTAACAGGAGAGATATTGATCAACGGAGTGAAACTGGACAAGACCATCGGTCGTCGGTTAGGTTATGTAGCAGCAGAGACTGTTCATATCCCAACTCAGACTGTGAGAGATACTCTCTTGTTTGCGGCAAGGCTCCGGATGTCTGGATCTTGCACGGAATTGGAGCGGGTCACAAAGGTTCGTTTTTTGAGCTTGGAGGACATCAAGTTCACCGATCATCTTTTTGTACGCTAATACTTCATAATTCTAAGGTCGAGGAAATTCTCAGCGGCCTCAAGTTGGACCATATCGGTGACACACCTGTCGGAAACGAGCTCTTGCGTGGTATCAGTTCCGGAGAAAAAAAGGTAATGGCTTCCATCATCCCAATCACCTAGATGTCTAACAGTAACCACCCAGCGCTTGGATATTGGTATTGAGATGTTGGCCGAACCTAAATTGTTGTTTTTGGACGAACCCACGAGTGGTAAGTTGCATATCGTTTCCATGGTTTAAGAAACTAACTCCTACGTAGGATTGGATGGTATGTATTACTTAAAAAGGAGATTTCCAGTTTGAACATTGTTGTAATAGAATATGCGGCGCGGTTTACCATGAAATTAATTCTGCAGTACATTAAGCAGCAAAACGTCACTGTTGTAAGTTTCAATTGTGGAATATTGATCCCCCCTTAACGTGTCAAATATACCTTTTTTCCATTTCATGCAGATTTGCGTCATCCACCAGCCCAGTACTCAGTGGTATGTAAAAAATGGTTGTTTTGATTTAAGGCTTATTTTTTCGTGTAGTATCAATTGTTCGACAGCATTTGTTTACTAGGTGCTGCCAAGTTTGCTACTTTGGAAAAGTTTCCTTTGCCGAAACATACTTTACAAAGATGGGTCAACCCACGCCTCAGTTCGTCAACCCAATTGAACATTACTGTAAGTAATAGCACGTTTTCCGAGCGAAGTCAGTATTATACAAACTCATTTCTTTTCACTTTTTCTCTTCTTTCTCAATCAAAAACAGTGGATGTCATTAGTGCTGCTCCACAAGAAGTTTCTCGATATTATGAGTTGTCCGAAGCCAGAAGTCAAATTTCCCAAAAAGTCCGCGAAGTTGCCCAAGTCATTGGTTCCGTTGAAAACTTTGAGACGGATCTTGCCACAAAGCCTACGTACGAGCGCAACAGTTTTGTGCAGTTTTGGTACCTATTCATCCGCTGTGCAAATCGATACTACAAGAATCCGTCCACCTGTTTCGGTCGTCTCGTGCTAGGAGTGATTTTGTCGTTTATTTTCGGCGGTGTGTTTTATCAACTTGGATATGATCTCGAGAGTTTCCGCATGCGATTGGGTCTTGCCTCTGGTATTGGGTTTATTCCATCTTTTATGGCCGCCGCGGCGCTTCCTCAATGTAAGATATAGGTGTTTCCTGTGGTTCGCAGCAACTTGATAGACCACGTTTTAACAATCTTATTCCTATAGTTTTGGAAGATCGTGACCTTTTCCATCAAGAATATGCTTCTGGTATGTTTTATTGAGCACCAAATATTTTTCTTGTTTTTCTCGCCTGCATAACAAGGCGAATATAGAAAACTAGTTTTCAATTTATTAATATCACATTTTTTTATCATATTTACAGGTTACTACCGCATCCTACCCTACTATATTAGTTACTTGGTCATTGAATGTATCATTGTTCTTTCCATCACCGTCATCCAAGCTGTCATTATCTTTTTCATGGCCAACCTTTCGGCATCCAGCTTTGACAAGTACCTCGGTACACTGCTTTTGCAGGCTCTGATCAGTGTTTCCGTGGCACAATTTATCTCAGCTTGGTGCAAATCCTTGATGCAAGCTTACAGTGCCTTGACAGGTTACGGTCTCTTTAACTTTGTGTTTTCGGGTGTTCAGGCCAACCTGTCTAGGCTTGGGAATCCGTTCCTTACAGGGCTTACATACATTAACTTTTGGCGATACACCATCACGTACCTGGCAAGTTTTTTCGTATTTCTCTAATTATCATCTTGGCCTTTCATTAATCTTTTTTTCTTCTTCTTTTTTTTCTTTTCCTTTTTCCTTTATTTCGAATTGCAGATCGCAAACCAACTCAAAGGCTTTACCATTCAATGTAAATCCAACGAAGTCATTCCGGTTAAGATGAACACGATCGTGAAGCAAATTGCGCAGACTGTTCAAGGTGTCGTCACATCTGGCATGCCTAACAACAAAAACGCCACCCAGCTTGCGCTTCAAATTGCAGGATACCAGGAAATTGCATCGCTCAGCTGGATGGGCGGTATCTTGATTCAAGATCCGATATCTCAGACGTACAGCGTGGACGCGACAAAACTTCCGTTACCGCCCCCAGCAAACACAGCGACATATGGGACCTGGCTTAAAAGGAGAGGCAGACGGAGCTTTATTGAGCACAGTTGTGGGCTATGGGTCTTACTTCGCAGGCAGAGACTACCATTTATGTATGTCGAGGAGTGTCATAATTTGTTTCTCTATGGTCATTTTTTTTTTTGGCACACTGAAGTTTGTCTAACACATCTTCCTTTTGCCGTAGGCGACAAACGCGTCCGTTTGGACTCTTTGGAACCAAACCATCGAACTCTCGGACCGTGGTGTCTTCCCCGACTACTCTCGTTGCTTTATCACAGGTTAGTCATCAAAGTCCTCCCGTACTTTTTGTCTTCTTGATCATGATAGAGATATCTTACAGATTTCTTTGTTAATTAAATATCACAAATTTAGATACTGCCGGTTACATTCGTCAGAAGTTTGCAGTCGATGATTTGGTTAATGACAGTGTGTTTGGTATTGCCACTGTTTTCTTCTTAGTGTACTGCATCTTGACGTACCTCGGGTTAATGTTTTCGTTGCGTTACAAAAAGCGCTAGTTTCTCTGGCTAGCTTGAACGTGTTTGGTTGTTTCGTTGTATGCTGCATGGTTTAGAAAATAGAATGAATAGGGCCATCTAGAAAGTTCCTTTTTTATTGCTGTATACTTAAACAATACTAATAAACGTATTGATTAAAATCTTTTGAAGTCCTACGATGCCGCTTTCAAAAGCATAAGCTTGTTACAGCGTCGTTTAGGATAATTTCACAGAGATCCCACCGCCCATCACTCGCTTCAGACTTGGTCACGAGGGTGAGGCCAAAGAGGGAAAGGTGACTTAAAAACGTGCAGTTGGCCGAGTGTCTAAGGCGGTTGACTTCAAAAACGTGCAGTTGGCCGAGTGGGTCTAAGGCGGTTGACTTTCATTAAATTTGATGTAATTAATAATTATTAATCGATTTAATTAATAATTATTTAATTCTTGTTACGGTGGTCTTGGGAGGCGGCGAGTATGGAACTCTTTTGTAAGGCTTGGACGTAGTTGGATTGATGTGGAGGGTATTTGAAGGTGAGAGGGCTTTTTCCCAGGTGCTGAAGGTGAGGGGTGGCCGTCGAGCATTGGTCTCATTTGACCTTTACTATAATAGTTTATATAGACCATTTTTTTAAAAAAAAGAGAAAGGGCAGATGGCCGAGTGGTTTAAGGCGGTTGACTTAAGCTCAACTAACGAAAGTTGCATGGTTCGAACCCATCTGCCCACCGTAAGTCCCTAGGAAAGTGGTATTCCGTCAGCCTCCGACTGATTTCAGGATCAGATGAAAGCTGGAGATCGTGGGTTCGACCCCCACGGGGACTGATAGACTTATTTTTATGTTATTTTTTATGTTATTTTAGCATGAACAACTCGACGCGCATTAATTTGAACATACAAATTACCGCCTTATATTTACCACTCGCACGTTTTTAAAGTCAACCACCTTAGACCACTCGGCCATCTGCAGGTTATTATAGTCAACCGCCTTAGACCACTCGGCCATCTTCCCGTTTTAAAAGTCAACCGCCTTAGACCACTCGGCCAACTGCCAGTTTTAAAAGTCAACAGCGTTAGAACCACTCGGCCAACTACCGGTTTTTTTTTCTTCTTTAAACCACTCGTCCATCTGCCGGTTCTTTTTTTTTCTTAAAAATAAACTCTGCGTTATGAAAAATCGCCAGGCCAGAGCAGCGCTTCACCCGAGCTAAAGTGTACACATAGTAAATGGCGTTGATGATCATTATCAGCACACATTTCAAGGTTGGCTTGACATCTATCAGTACCTTATCCTTCACGTCATTTGAAGGCCATTGAATCGTGAGCTTGACATCGACCATCTTCTTTTGTCATCAATTCACGCCGATGGGCTATGTAATAGTGTCCATATACTTGCCAAAACCTTCATTGTGTTGATCTCTCAAGCTTTAGTCTTTTCTAGCATGGGCATTGCCCTCACAATACTGTCATCAAAGTATGCCAATTTCCCCGAGAGTGCGTATCTGATAACAAAAGATTTCTTAACTTCGTAAATCAAATTTACCAGCTTTGATTTCTCTATAAATATATGGAAAACAGATTATTAATCTCCTCCACCGAACCCAAAAGAAAATGAAAACCGTGCATTGTCGGCTGGAGCAAACATTTCGTCAGTACAGACGTATTTTTAAGCTTTTCTCCGACGTCGTTGTGATGGTTCGCTTTACTAAAAGCGATAACACGTCCTCTTCTCTCTTCGCCCACAACATCTTCAAACTCCGGTCCCAGTGCGTTGACAAATTGATCGTTAAAGTGTTGAGCAGTCACCACAATTTTCCCGGAACCCAGAAATTTGGTCGGGTTTTGTTGCCATGAAGCGAAGAACGTGGGAAAGGTTTTGACGCGATACAAAGTTTTGCGTAATTGCGATGGTTTCTTCGAGATTCATGACGGCATGCCACCAACCTTTTAAATAATGTTAGATTTTAATTTTTATATATTATATCCAACAAACTGATGAACATTACCTCGAGGGACAAAAATTATTTCTCCTGCACGGCATATGCATTCAATAGGCTTCACAGGAAGATGCTTCATCTCATCATAGTGGTTCAAAAACCATTCAGCAAGTGAAACTGGCGATGTAACCTATGTACGAAATAATTTTAAGAACCATTAGAATGTTAAAAAGGAATAACACGAGAAACGGCATACCTCACTTCCGTCTTCACTAGGAAATACACCTGGAGGCACGACCTCAGGAGGAAACAAAATCCACTTTTTCGAACCCGACAAAACAGCATTCCACGCACTAGTCTGATTCGGATCCAGATGAAATGTCGACCCCGACCTTGGTGGACCCAAAATCAACCATCGATAATCTGGCCTTTTCTCCCCAAACACATTAAATAAATCCTCTGCAAAGTACGGCGGTACAAGGTAATCGCTCCAAGACCTGTTCGAGAACCAAAGTCGCGGTCAAACATGTACAGCGGGCTTTCTTCAAAGGAGGCGCCGTCTACTCCACACTTGGTTGAGTAGGAGGCGTAGCTTTTAAGTGGGAGGTCGACGGCCTCTGCGCGAAAACTAACGTCACGCACACTTTAACGAGGTGGTTCAAGCTCCATTTACCAAAAGCAGGCCATTTTTCTAAAGCATCCGTGATAATGACAGGATATTAGGCCTTTCGTAACTACGTCACTAATCAGTTTCGAAACATACTCATACTGAAATGCTAACAGCACAACACTCACCATTCGATAAACTCTTCAACACTAAGACCGCTTCTACGATCAATAGTATCAGCGACATGTGTCCTGCAGAGCTTGTCGAGAGGAATGGAGGCGCAGCGCCATGAACTAAACAGGTAGTCCGAGTAAAAGCCCTTGACTCGTAAAGGCATAAGAGCTGGAAGCGACTGTATCACGAATAAATACAAGCGAAAATGTAACCCAAGGCCCTTACCTTGATGTCTCTAGGCTTTGAACCGCTGTATCCGGTTTGGCATGCCGTCCTCCTGAATGTATCCCTCCAAGATTCCCCAAACTCCTCACAAAACCGTCCTCCAAAGGCCTCTATAGTGCGAGCCCGCCAGATGTCATCAAAGCAAGCAAGAACATACATAGCCTTGGAAGCTTGAGACAACCGACAAATGTCTCGATGACTCAGGCGGGTTGAGTCCGACAACAGATGGGAAATGATCATCTCATCTTCCAAAAACGACAGGTAACCCAGTCCAGCTGGTCTAATGTTGCCTTCCTGTCCAAGATTGTAAAGCATGTTACCCATCGGTTGAACCCCGTAAGGATGTGGCCTAAGAGATCCAAAAGACAGTAGAAGCCGTTCTTGTTTGACATGGGAGGTAGTTTTGCACTGGCTGCTCCTTTTCATCGATCCAAACATGGTACCATGATGTTCAGGAGCAGTTTCATCATTCGTTGTCCTTAGTCGCTTGCATGCCTGGGATGCGCTGTGAGGCAAAGGTGCTGCTCGTTTTGAGGTCGTCATGGGAGGAAGGAACAACAAAAAAAAAAAAATTGGTAACTTGTCGTTAACTGACTCACCATGCAGCCATCATCAAACGCCTCTCCTGACGATGCAGTACGAGGGACGAATGACGACGCAACGATATCTCGCGCGTAGGGCACCAGTGGCGCTTTCAATGGACTGATTGAATTGAATGTAGGTCGGCAGTGATAATGGGCTACCTCCAAGATCCCTTTATCAAAACCTTTTGCAAGCGTCCCGCTCGCAGACCACCCATTATCAACCGCGGTACGTACTCACGATCGTCCTCGATAGATGTACTCGTCCACCAGTTTGTTAGAGGTGCGGCTGCATTTGGCGGAGGTCAGGTTGTGGCATTAGGTGCCGGATTCGACACAAGATATTTTCTATTAAAGGTTAGTTATTCCGAGCATTGTAATGACACGAGATTTTATAGTAGATTATTAAATCTTTCCGCTCTTGTTGCCGTAAATTTAAATGAATTTTAATACGCCTTTACAGTCGATGAATCTTCAATGTGCCCGATACTTTGAAGTGGATTTTCCAGAGATAACGTCTCGAAAAGCCATGCTGATGAAAAAGGACAAAACGATGGGACCCATGCTCGGAGAAAATAAGATAGGTGTGCTCTCTATCGAGTAGCTCACAGTACTAAGTGAAAGACAAGCTGGAGGCGGTTGCGAGATACACGGTACGGAATATTCTCTTTTATCAGGAGACCTTCGTGAGTGGGAGTCAAATATTGTACCCAAATTAAAGAGCCTCGGCTTTGATGAAAGGTAAGTATGATAAATTACTTAAAACATATTAATACGAAACCCTTTTTTAAGCTGCCCGACATTGTACTTGTCGGAATGTGTTCTCGTGTATATGGAAGAGGAGTATATTAACTCGATTCTGTCGTGGTGCGCAAGATCTTCCGCAGCCTCATTCTTTATCACATACGAGCAGATAAGACCAGAAGATGCTTTCGGCAAAGTGATGATCGAAAACTTGAGGGTAAAGACGTTGTTATAACCCGTGACTTGACACCAAGTTTAGCTTCGAAATATTTCATTGCCCGGTCTGGAATCCTGCCCTACCCTAGAGTCACATGTGGGCCGCTTTAAGTCCGACAGGTTGGAAGAACCTCGGCGGTGGCAACAGCTGTGACCATGAGGGATGCTTTTGAGGTCTATCTCAGCTCAGAAGAAAAGCTAGGGTCGCAAAGCTCGAGATTTTCGACGAAGTTGAAGAATGGAGGCTCATGGGAGAGCATTACTGTCTCTCATGGGCATGGTGCGTTCCATCAGACGGGGAGCCAGACTCGAAGCAAGAGGCAATGCATAAGTGGCTTGAAAATATTTCGCTCAAACGTCAGTCATAAAAAAAATAATGGATTGCTCAGCATGGTAATATTAAACAAAAATGTCGTCCTAAATAGGTACTGATATTGTCGTAGTGGATAAAAAAGCGGGCATAATGTCTACTCTTGATATCATCGGGGAGAGAACCCCATCGCAATGTAAATACTGGACTGCGACGATTCCAACGACTCCAATATAATACATGGCCTTTGAAAAAGACATTAGCTGCTTGTGCTTTCATGGAATATCCCACCTGAGCGTTTGTTTCCGCAGCTGGGGTATGTTTGGGCAACTGCTGTTCATTGGTTTCCTTCACCTGATCCTTTACGGAGTTGCGCCTGCGCAACACCATCTCGGCCTCATTGTCTTTCTCCACGGCCGTCCTTTCACCGTCTTTCTTTGCCTCCTTTGACGCGAACTCCAAACTGGCAACCTTCTTGTTGGCAATTGCTAGTTTCTCGTCCGCCACACTCAATTTCTCCGCCAGTATCGACGCCTTTTCTTCAACCAGAGTATATTTCCGAGTCAGGCTAGCAATAGACTCCTCAGCCGACTTTATCTTTTCTTCTGCAATCTGCCTTTCTCATTCGATACAGAAAGCTTATCTTCCAGCAGTTTGATCGTTTCCTTCAAATCCTTCAGCTCGTCCTCGCTTTTCTTTGTTTCTCTTGTCACATGTGTAGCTTGCTTAGCTCCGGCCTTAGTGACTCAATCTCAGATGTAAGCTGTTCAATCTTAAGAGTCTTTGCCAAAGACTCTTCTTGAAGTACCGCATTTTCTTCTTTCAATCTCTTGACTTCCAACTCGAGGCTTTCAAGATGTTCTCTTTGCGCTGATGCAGCCGCAGTTGCAGCTTTAATTGCAGCTAATTCTTTCTGCAAAAACCATGAGTTTACAGGGTTCAAAATCACAGCTGACGCTCACCTTTTTTAAAAACTCCACATCAGCCAGAGCTTGCTCCGTCTTAGCTTTCCACTCATCAATTTCAGACAT